ATAGCGATGGGTGCTAAAAGCACAGCGTCCTTTTATCTCTAACTCACAACGCTATTGTCTGTGGGTTACATATTTTTATGGAAAACCGGCTACATTGTGTGCAAACATAGATTTCTTAGATTTATGTTACGATTTCGACAAGCATGGATTTGCGCGATAGATTTCGACGCAGTGCACGCAGGCCAGATACCATAGGATGTTGGACAAAGTTGAACCCCACTGCCAGTTCCGTCTCGTTTTGCTGTCCAAGCTTTCTCTACGATAGTTATACCGGCATTTGCGCCATGTTCGTTACGACTAGCTTAAGCCATTATGGGTGCACAATTTGTGGAGAGGGAGTCCTGCTATGAACAAAGAGTCATACCGAGCACAAAAACGAAAAATTAGCAAGGAAACGCGATTTTTCTCCCAAAATGGCTGATGTGATACGCTAACGGCTTCCTTGAAGATGCATTTTCCAAATTCATCTGACATTTCTAGAATTGTTGAAAACGTTGCCAGGGCGAGAAAATGCGCGATGAGCATTTCCTCTGGGAAGGGCACGGCCGGAGATCGTTTATGAAAATTTGTCAATTATCGCTATTGGTCCGTGTTGGCATTTGATATCAGACGGTGGCATGCGAATCGAAATCGTTACGTTATCGGTGACGAACGTCCTTAATGCGAGCGAAGAGGCTTTAAAGCCAACATTCTGCTGTGTAAAGCACTTGACGTGGGGTCTTCAATATGTTTTAGGTAGCCAAAATAAGCAAGCCAGTTGATGAAATCCACTTTTACAATCCGTGCACATGTAGTGATGTGTGTTGCAACTTCGTTCCATCAAACCAGAACCTTGAGTTAACCGCTGAGATATCACCATTTCTATTCGCAACGACGCATTTTTTCATCTCGCTTTCCGGAAGCACGTTTATGCAGCTGAAGAGCATGAAACCAGCGTCAGCCATGTTCCCTGCGGGATGCAATTTATATAATCAGCAGCAGTCATCTGTCCATGACACGCCATAAGCCAGTCAGTCTCACAAGTGAGCGAGCAGCGGCGCCCCCGGCTCGTTTTCCCATGGACGGCACGGCCTGGTGTCGTCGACTCGCCGGGCGATGACTGGGAAGGCCTACCGTGGCCGGCACCACGGCCCGTCGGCGGCTGAGTCAGCACCAGCCGAGACCAATCCGCTATGCCCCAGCGGCCGCCGACGCCGGCGGGGTGCAGCGGAGCAGCGTGCACACACTGGCCGAGCGTCGTTCTCGACTGCCCGGACCGATGAGAGCGTCGTCCGTGACTAAATGGACTAACCGTAATATTGGGAGGGGAGGGAAGCAGGGCTTGCTGTTTTTTATGGATTTTGGCGGTGGGGCAGTGAGGCCGTATTTTGTCGATAAAGGCCGTTTCTGGGGCGTGAGCCCTCACACGCCTTCTGTGGATCGGTCGACGTGTCCTTCAACGGACAAATGGCCCACTGGAATGACATGCACAAGACATCCTTGGCAGCGTTGCGTGCATCCAAGGATCGCAACCAAAATGGCATGGCGAAGCCATTTTGGAGAAATTTCTACCCCGGCGGGCCGGCGCCATCTTTGGACCTCGCAACACAGCAAGATGAGCTATATTGATCGGCGTCATCGTCAGCATCGTGTATATCTTTGATCTGTGACACGAAAGTAAAAAAATAGAACGGTGTTGCAATGAAGTCACGAATCAGAAGGGTTGTTCCATAAGCTGCCGTTTCAATCAAAGCACCAGCCTGAACTGACGGCTATTGTTTTCCAGACTGTTCCACCCCACCTCACACCGTCGCGCTACCGCCCTCGAAACGGACTGCGAAAGGTAGCGTACTGCTCGAAGCGGCTCGTGATGATGAGAAAGCCCTGAAAGGGGATCATTAATCTGATAGCAATGCTGGTTCTGGGGCCCGCGCCGGAGACAGTTATTTGTAACTGGTTTAATGGGCAGACAGTAACACTTGTTCGCTCGCTTGTGAGTGGTCCGCTCGCTTCGGAGTCTTTGGAAATTCTACATTTTTTGGTATGTTTTATCTTGTTCACGTGTGCCCCAGCTTGGCTCACGATTGTTTGCACGATGATTACGGAAACGATTGATCGAATGAAGGTAATGTGTTTGTTGAACTACCGTAGCTAAATCGGTAGCGATATGCTCTGCATGGTCATCAGATTTGCTCCGCCACATGGTGTGGGTTCGCCGAATGCAACAAACGAAGGTCTCCGGTGTCGGCGCCATTACGAACAAAAACACAGTACTAATCTTAAACTGATTAACACGATTTCTGTAAGGCACACTCCTCGCTAGCCTGCAATATCACAGAACCTCCCCGAAATGGTATTTTTCAGAATTGATGCATTTTTATTCAGCGACGTTTCTGAGGCACAGACAGTTAGCTGGTCGGATTCGTAATGGGTTTATACAACCATTCCGTTTGCCTGTTTTTTGTATTATTGTAGCAATTTAACGATAATCATGCATTTTTGATTTATTTCATTGTACTCCTTATTCATACAGTATATTTTGTATTAATCAAAATAACTGATGCGTTTTCAATAATTCTTCCCATCACGGTAAGTTCAGTGGACAGTTTGAAATCAACAGAAGGTGAGCCCGACAGCAATAAGTCCAGGGCCGCGACGTTTTTTAAAGTGTGGGTGATTATACATACAGTCACTTGGTTCAGCCACAACTATGCCACGGCGATGGCCTGAGTTGGAAATAAACTGAGCTAGTTGTGTGCTATCGATTTTGTTTATTGACCTGAAAACTTGACTTGATCTGTTGACTTCTACACAGGCGTGCTCCCTGCTGGTATTTACGCCAATTAGCGATCATCATAATGTCCTTGCTTGCGATGAAACAAATTTCAAACTCATCACGTTTTCAGATGTTAGGGATCTCCGCGAGATGCAACTCCAATTAAGCATTGCAGAGTGATAATGATATTAAAATCGTATTATTATCAAACACCAAATGATACCAAACATGTTCAATGCTCTGTTTATGTTTCAAAATTCATCAAACTCTTCCGGTCAACGCCGTCGCGGCCTCACGTATTCCACGTGTGAAGTCCGCAAACCGTGCCGGAAGGCCCTAGACGCAGGTGGTAGCGGGCTTGGAACCCGTTCGGCGCACATCCCCGCGGTGGTGATACAGGTCTCGAGCTGATGGTAGCGAGCTTGGAGCCTGCTCAGTGCACATCCTCGCAGTGGTGATTCAGGTCTCGAGCTGATGGTAGCGAGCTTGGAGCCTGCCCAGTGCACATCCCCGCGGTGGTGATTCAGGTCTCGAGCTGATGGTAGCGAGCTTGGAGCCTGCTCAGTGCACATCCCCGCGTTGGTGATACAGGTCTTGAGCTGATGGTAGCGAGCTTGGAGCCTGCTCAGTGCACATCCCCGCGGTGGTGATACAGGTCTCGAGCTGATGGTAGCGAGCTTGGAGCCTGGTCTGTGCACATCCCCGCGGTGGTGATACAGGTCTCGAGCTGATGGTAGCGAGCTTGGAGCCTGCTCAGTGCACATCCCCGCGGTGGTGATACAGGTCTCGAGCTGATGGTAGCGAGCTTGGAGCCTGCTCAGTGCACATCCCCGCGGTGGTGATACAGGTCTCGAGCTGATGGTAGCGAGCTTGGAGCCTGCTCAGTGCACATCCCCGCGGTGGTGATACAGGTCTCGAGCTGATGGTAGCGAGCTTGGAGCCTGCTCAGTGCACATCCCCGCGGTGGTGATACAGGTCTCGAGCTGATGGTAGCGAGCTTGGAGCCTGCTCAGTGCACATCCTCGCAGTGGTGATACAGGTCTTGAGCTGATGGTAGCGAGTTTGGAGCATGCTCAGTGCACATCTTCGCGGTGGTGGTGGTTTTTACGCTGCGTTGAAAAAGCTGCAAATTGCCTGGCAATAGGTTCGAGTCCGCTGCACCCATCGCCTGGTTGTAGGTCATTTCCATTTCCACACCAGCTATTTTCCATCATTTCTGCCGCCGCACCTCGTCGCAGGTAATCGTCGCCGTGTAACTGTCCAGCGGAGTCGCACGCTAGTGTACAGTCATGCCGTTTCACCGCACCATCCAGTTCCATCCAGAAGCCTGGTTAGCTGACAGTCCTGTAGCAGGATTTGTGGCCGCCCAAAATTCGACCTCAGGCGGGCAAAAAAGAGAAGGGGCATGAGTGTGGCAAGGGTATCGTCGAGTTGTGTGATCAGGATATAGATGAAGACAAATGCTTATTACTACGCAAAAACCATCACTGAAAACCTCCATCTTTTAACCAAGCGTATTACGATTTTGGAGGTATAGACAGAAGATTGTCGTTTTAGACAACGAAACCCCTCATTTGGAATGAGCTTCCTTGCTCCCCACCTCCGATGATATACCGCCTGAAATTACCGCCAGTTTCTCAGGCAGCTTTTCTAAATGCCCGAATCAGTGTTTATTTGCAAGAAATGTAAAAAGCCTTTAGGGTGCACAAGTAGCTACGATTGGTATCCAACCTGTGCAACAATCTTAATAAGCACCAACATAATGCAACTGTTGCTTTTAAGAACCCATTGCAAGTGATGCGAGGCAAAGATAGCAGCTCGAGACCAGCCAGGATGCAGTGACAGTTCTGGGGCTGCTCCAATCTGTAGGCTATATGGTGATAGCAATTAATCGGTAACCCACGCACCGTACTAGCCCCTGATCTATGCAGGTCAAGAGCATGAGTATTTTTCACGCAAGAAATACAACAAATGTCCTTGAGCTTTTAAGGAGCCAAGAGCAGTTTATTCGTCTAACTGGCAGGTTTAAGGGAGAAATGGTGTAGGAATGGATGAAAAGGTGCCTCATTAGGTTGACTGGTTTGTACACAGCAAATGATGCAATTTTTGCTCCTTCCGTCGAACATTTCCCAACAAGCCGTTCGAACACCTCACCAACCCCACGCGTTCCTCGAGCGCCCCCCTGCAGAGGCTGCGCCGGTGATCGACAGTGTCCACCGGCCCACGCCTGGCGTCTGGCACTGACCTGGGCCCGGCAGCCGTTGACGAGACAGAGCACGAGCACTGCGCCTGCGACCCTCATGTCGGCCGGCTCCGCTGTGGACTGCCGGCCTGGGCGCCCGGCAACCGGCTGGTCGGCTCGGCTCGGCTCGCGCCGCGTCCCGGTGCCGTCATCGGCCGCCGCCGCCGCCGCCGCCGCCGCCAGGCAGTGACGCCGCGCCGCCGAACAGGATCACACAACCAGCTTTCACCGAGCCACACCCGACCCTGCGCGTCCTACGCCAAAGCACGGCGGAAATAGGTACCCCAGGCTTCGGAAATAGGTTCCCTCCGCGAGCGAATGGGATTGTCCCGTCGGGAACTGTCGCCCGACGGGCAGTGTCGTAGGAAGAGACGTCCCTCCTCGTTGGTGTGCGCTTCGTGGGCAGCAGCATCGCCAAACACAGAGGCAGCAGTCACCACTGTTGACACCCGGTATCCCAGTGTGGGCCGCGCCCGCAAGTGGGCTACCCGCGTCGTCACTGCATCATGTTCTCGCTCTGTGTGATCAGAGGGTCTGGACTTCAGGTGTGCGGTGAGAAGAGGCTCTACTGGCGCTCTTTGGACTGGAAGAGACCCGTGGGCTCCGGCAGCCCGGTGCCAGTCTGGAGTTCCGCCGCTTCAGACTAGTCCGCAGTCTGTGACAGATAGCCTACTCATTTTGTATGTGTTTATATCATCAGGGGGCAGGGTCTGGTGGAATGGTAACATAGTGATTGGGACTGAGTTTCATAAGCTATGGAAGGGCCGAATAACACTTGTTCGAAAAAGCCCGGATTGTCTTTTGGTCATCCTGATGAAGGCAACATGTACAAAATAGACTAAAAAAGCATTGGGAAACTGTCAGCAACTGAGGGATCTGCAATATTTCACCGACCTTTAACCGGGCTGCCCCCCCCCCCCAAACACACACACTCACACACACATACAAACGCACACACCTCCATAGCGGAAAACCGAGAGAAGCATTGGAAGGAAGAGCCTGGGTTTGTCCACCACCAGTATAAGAACTAAAGCACAGCGGTTAACTTTTGGCTTTGTGCTGTCAGCCGCAGGAGACCTATGTAAATGCGCTGAGAAAGCCTGCGGTGGTCGCGGAGCTCCACCTTTGTTTAGCCCTTGGCCTCGGCCGGCCGCAGTGCTCAATACGACGCGCCAGACAGCCCCACCAGCGACCGGAACATAAGTCACCGGCGGGTTCCCACGTGGGGCGGCGTGACACGGTGCCAGTCTGGGTCACCTGGGGTCAGCCGCCGTCGGCGCTAATTGCGCGCAGTCGAGGAATGCAGCCGCTGGCATTCAGTGTAACCGGGTCCGCCTCGGGAACGATGTTCGAAGGCATCGCTGCTGCTAAAGACGGCCTCATGGCTGCCCAATCGAGGGCGTTCGTCAGCCTAGTTATGCCACGGACAATGGTGGAAATTACCTCAGCGATTTGGAACACCGTGAAAAGGGCCAAGATGAATGAGTCAGTCACGACGAACCCATGGCCTTTGAGACTGGATACATGCTCACATGCCAAAAGTGCCGACAGGCCTAGAATGCTCAACGCAACACTCAACACGCCTGCGTTTCATCCAGTGCAACGAAATGGTACAGCCGCAAAAGATTGGCACTTAAAAGAACTCTTAACGACACAAGGCCTCACAACTAAAGACGGCGTTCGGTAGAAACAGCGTCTCGGCGGGTTGTACAAAACATTCCTGGATTTTGGCGGCCGAGGTACATTTATGAGCTTGATAACGCATTGTGTATCTTAAAGTTGGTTGCTTTCTCAACGACCTTTCAGGAGACTTTTTCTTTAAGACCTTTGGCCTCTCGGGCCAGCAATGGAGATCATCCTTTTTCATAACAGCCATGCCAAGCTGCAATATTGTCGCAGAATATAGCTGCCACTTGAAGATGAAAAAGGAGGGCATCTGAAAAAATGAGTTCTCCAAAGCTAACGATGTTGCAATGAATTCTTAGCTCGCTTATCAAATTTGCTTATCAGACTTATCTGCCAGTGATGCTTTTCAGGACTGAGAACTCTGGTTAAAGCCCCATGGCTTCTGTTTTCACTCAGACTGGTCTGACTTGTTGTTTACCGGATAAATTTCAACGGCTCACCAAATTTTGAGCATAACAATATCACGACTCTCACCGAAGTGACAGAAAATAGGAGGTGAAGGATTTGCGAAAAAAGACGAGAACATTCCAGTTAGACACAGCCTCAGGACGCATCAAAACACGAATCAAGCGTCGTTGAGTTCAGGAATGATTACAACATTACACCGAGTATGCCACTCTGGGTTGCACTGAGAGCAGCGACTTTGCGCCCGTGCTCTAGCACCGAATTGTACAGTGCCCTTCCGGTCAATGCCTGCGAAAATGACACGGCGCTGGCTGACCAATCACGAGGCAAGGGCCGACCAATCACAGAGCGGCGGCCAGTCCAGAGGCCGACAGCCGCTTCCCAGCCCGCGGCTACGTGGCCACAGCATCGCCCGCCTCAGGTGTCTCTCGTCTACCAGACGCGTCCCCCAGGTTGACAGGAGATTGATCTTGATGCATCAGTTTGGTGTTGTGATTTAGGAACGCGATGCATGTCGTCACGCCGCTTCCTATGGAGTGCCAGCGATCGCTTTGGCCATATAAGCGCTCAGGGGCCGTGGCGCAATCGGGACAAAATATCAAAGTCGCTGAGGTTCTCCCCCATGTCCCTCATGCCTCGAATGTCTCGTGCATTAGGGGAAGTCCTCCAGCGACCAGGGCGCCCTACCGCTTTGGCGCCTGTTCACCACAGCGGCCAGGGCGCCTCACCGGCCTGGCTCCTGTTCGCTGCAGCGACCAGGGCGCCTCACCGGCCTGGCACCTGTTCGCCATAGCGACCAGGGCGTCTCACCGGCCTGGCTCCTGTTCGCCGCAGCGACTAGGGCGCCTCACCGGCTTGGCTCCCGTTCGCCGCAGCGACTAGGGCGCCTCACCGGCCTGGCTCCTGTTCGCCGTAGCGACTAGGGCGCCTCACCGGCCTGGCTCCCGTTCGCCGCGGCGACTAGGGCGCCTCACCGGCCTGGTTCCTGTTCGTCACAGCAACCAGGGAGCCTCACCGGCCTGGCTCCTGTTCGCTGCAGCGACTAGGGCGCCTCACCGGCCTGGTTCCTGTTCGTCACAGCAACCAGGGAGCCTCACCGGCCTGGCTCCTGTTCGCTGCAGCGACTAGGGCGCCTCACCGGCCTGGTTCCTGTTCGTCACAGCAACCAGGGAGCCTCACCGGCCTGGCTCCTGTTCGCTGCAGCGACTAGGGCGCCTCACTGGCCTGGCGCCTGTGCACCATAGCGACCAGGGCGCCTCACCGTTCTGGCTCCCGTTCGCCGCAGCAGCGCGCCAGCCAGTCGAAGGCTCTCACCATTGTTGTCATGCTAATCACACCGTTAGGTTATTCAGGCTGGAGCGACCCATTGCTGACCGGTCAGTGGCTGGGAAGGAGAGAGCGTGAAGCAAGTCAATGCGCAGTCGTAGCCTTTTGGCGCGTCATTGACCACAGTGGTTATACCAGAAGAAGGCTATACGCGATTCAGAAGACGATAAGCGATTCGGATCCACGATCCCCATGTGGAAGCCAATGTTCCCCAGCTAGTGTCATCTCACCCTGTGGTTGTGGGATACCTTGATCTAACCATACCCAGCACTAAAGACACGAGATATGATGAAAAAGTTCCGAAACTACTCCTCGTCAGCATCAACAAGCACGGACACCATCGTCCAGGAGCGTGGTTTTGCCAGATTAGTTGATGGCGGGGTATGGGCTGGGCAGTGAAGACTGATGGGACATAGCCCCAAAATACGCCAAAAGTCGGGTTTTCCACAAGCGTGACCCATTTTCTTCTTCAGCCTGGGAGACGGGGTGAAGCCAGCCTACTCCTTAGAAAACTACACCGTCATCGTCGCTCCCTACCCGCCATACTCGCCGGCTTTGAACCTCTGTCACCCTTTCTTTCAACACATTCAATCTGCAGGGCCGCTGTTTGGACGCCGTGGAGGAGATGCAGCGCGATTTACAGATGGTGCTGGACATGCTCAAAGAAAGGGGTTTTCAGGGAGCATTACGCGTTTGGGTAGTCTATTACAAACCTCAAAACTTTCGACGGGGATTACAAAGGTTGCATTTGAAGGAGACGAAGTTAGATTTGCTGTTTTACAGTAGCGCTGATAAAAGAAGGCATCCCACTTTGTTGTGCTTGTCAGTCATTGTTAGATCAAACGGCGCAAGTTGATCAGTAATACCAGTTTTCTCGAGATCGTTCTGAAAACCTCAGCATTTTGATTTGAAGTCACCGAAACTGCGGCAGGAATCTTACTGGACTCTCTGCTCACCACTATGAAAGTAATGGATTTCATTTGCCTTACTTTTTCCAACGTGTGTGTTCTGTGATGCTTGCAACACATTAATTTGTCAAATTGTTCGTGTAATAAATGTTACGAAAGCTTGTAAAACTCTGTTTATACTAAAAAAGATTTATGAAGCTAATATTCCGCGAATTCAATGAGGCGTTATACTATGGCTCTAGTTACTTCCCTAGGACGTTTACTGCGGTATCTCTTTTCGGAGCGAACTTTGGCTTTCGTAAGCGGAGTGTCAAATGGTCTAAGGTGACGCATTGGTTCAAAGTTCAACCAATGCGCTCCTCGCTAACTTATCCTTGCCGCCCGCTGATCCAATCATAAACGTTCGTTTGTACTGACATCATTCAGTAACAGCTGACAGCGGTCCCCCAGCAGACTATGCTCTCGTCATGACACGGTTGTCGCTTCTTCACGGAAGAACCGTAGCACTGCTACAAAGCGTTGACAGCGAAATTTGGATTTGAAATTGATGTATATATATATATATATATATATGTATATATGCATGTATGTATGTATGCATCCTTAGAATGCGTTGATGGTGCTGCAGTGGCACTACGCAGTGCTATTATAACACGCAACTGGTCCTGAGGTTTCACTAGAGGTTCCACTTCACTTTAAATAGGCCCCAAAGGTGGAAAATTTCCTTAAAAGTGAACGTCTCACCTATGGGGTATGTTTCAAAGACATGCTCTAGTGAAACCTGGGAACTAGTCACGTCTAGTAATGACACTGGGTAGCATTGCTGCAGCGCCGTCAAGACATACTAAGGATATCGATTTCAGTCACTTTCGAGCCCAAATTGTGCCATCAACGTTTTGTAACAGCAATACGCTTCTCCCTGCAGTCGCGACCACCGTCACCATGATAACTACCGTGCACGCCTCTACTGGTGTGATTAAGAGAACATTTGTGATTGGCCGAGCGGACAAGGGTCTGTTAACCAAAGAACACACCGGCTGAACTTTGAACCAGTGCGTCACTTTAGACCATGTGATATCCCGTTTCCCAAAACCACAATGCGCTCCGAGAAGAGCCACTACAGAAAACGTCGTAGGGTAGAAACCAAACCCGAAGTATAACGTTTCGTTAACTTCACGGCATAAAAGCTTCATTGTGTACACAGTGTTCCATTTTGTATAATATTTAGTACACCAACAGTTTGACAAATTGTTGTGTTGCGAATATTTAAGAACACATACGTTGGAAGGGCAAGGCTAATGAAGTGTATTATTTTCACAGTTGTGAGCAAGGAGTCAAATGAGGTTTCTCACGCAGGATCAGCTACTTTAAATAGAAATTCTGAGCTATTCAGAAGGATTTCGAGGAAACTGATCTTACTTATCAAATCGTACGCGTCTGACCTCACAATGAATGACGAGTACAAAAAAGATGGGATGCTCCCTTTTATCAGCGCTGCTGTAAAACGACATCCAACTAACACCCTTTCCTTCGGATGCAAGCGTCGCAAACTTCGCTGAACGTCTTGAGGTTTGTAATAGAAAAGCCACGTCAGCATGCTCGACCTCATCTCTTCCCCCTCCCCTCTCCCCCCATTTGAGGCGTCTCAGTTCAAAGAGCAAACTCCATACGTTCAGCATATTGAAGTCCGCATATAACGCGGTATGGCAATCGAAACAGCTCTGAACAAAGAGCACGACCCAAGCAGCCTCAAGCTTTAGCACAAAAACACGTTCGCCTGTTCCGTGTCACGCCGGGCTACGACATGTATACGATCCTGAGCCGGCAGTGTTTACGTGGCACATCGCAGCTGGGCTCCCTCCGTGACACTTCCTGCTGCGCTGCACCGCGCCGGTCAGTACGGCCGGCCTCGGCCGGGCCGTCTGAGCTACGCGCTCCTCCCGCCGACCCGGGCAAAGTCCGCGGAGTCCGTCGATCGTGGATCGGAGGTCGAGTGGCCGGGCGCGGCGCAGATTGGACAGTCGGCCGCCGTCTTCGCCGTGTGCTCCCCAGCGTGCGGCACTCTCCGGCGCTTCTCTGTGCTCCTCGGTGCTCGCCTGTGATCCGCCGTCAGCGTCATGCGGCTCCGAGCGGGAGCCGTGCTGGCTGCCTGCCTGCTGGCGCAGGTCGGCGCCCTGCCGTTCGTTTCCGACTGGCTCGGCGACCTTGAGCTGTCGAGTAAGTGGGCCGTGGGAGAGGGGACACTGGCGCGGCCACCTTCTGACCTGGGCGTTCAGGGGTCACCCATCAGGCCACGTGGGCTCTGGGGCACTAGGCCACCACATCCTATGGCTCGGTCGGTACAAGATACCCCTGCCCGAAGTCAGGTCATTTCGATAAATATCACAGTATTTTTTTCATGAAAGCGCCGAAGACCGTTAGGCCCGTGGTGCTACGTGAGGAGTCAAGGGAAGATATAGGTGCTGAATCTCCCCCCAAAGGAAGACATATATTTCCCACACTTACGAGAATGCATGGGTTTGGGAACAGGACCGCCAGGGAGCCATGCCCCCCCCCCCCCTCCCCACCATCACTTTTCAAGGTGGGGGCGGCAATGTTAGCTGCCCCCTTCAGACTTTATTTCCGAATAGCTTGCTTATGATATGCTTGAATATCTAAAACATGCATGTTGATTTACCTAGTACACCTGCCATCTTCCTCAAACCGCACTAGGCACAATTTCCTCATGTGGTAAAAGCCAGCATATTAGCCTACCATGTCCGGCGAACGAATATATTTAGTGGCAAACCCGAGGTTCCTCTAGTGCCAAAGGCTCCGTTCCGTCCTTTTTTATATAGCATCGGTACTTGTGCCAAATTTGATATTCTCAGGTCATGACATTGGATCAAATATGGTTTGACAAGGTCAAACTCCAGATCGGTGTCCCAAGTGCCTGTTACCTGTTACCTGTACCTATTGTACCTGTTGTAAATAAAAGTTAAATGATATTCAATCAGGGTCAGTGACCTTGTTTGACCTTTTTTACCCCAAGATGACTAAGTACCTACGAGGCTGATCCTATCTTGTCATTCAAGTAAGCTTCAGGGATAGCGCTAGGCGGTTTGTTTCTGAAAACAAAATATTGAACTGGGTCATTTACGATCAGTAAACTTTTCTGACCATTAGGAAGTGCATGAAATACGTTTTATTCGGTTCCTGTCATTGATAAACTTGAAATCAGCACGACAAACTATTTCTTAAACCAAGCTCTCTTGTAAAAAGGGAGGTTGGTCTTGAGCTGGGTCTAGCCTTTATGTCTGACCTCTGGTCAATGGAATTGTCGTCATTCTAAATTCAATTGGATTATTGTTTAACAACTATCTCAGATATGTATGGTTTCGTCTAGCACTCCACTATCGCATCGCTTTGAAGGATTCTCCAAAAATGCCCTCCGCTGACACCAACAGCCTGACTCATCTGCCGTAGGTCAACCATCTAATAAGGCACATCCAAGTTTTGCATCAAAAGTTCCGCTGTTCAGTTCTCTACAACTATACAAAGTGCGGCGCGGCCACACGTCGGCCGTTCGGAAATCATTTTAGATAAACTTCAGAGGGGGGGGGGGGTCAACTTAAACTCCACACGAGCGCGCGTTCTAAAAAAAATTGTCGGTAGATGACCATGAAGATACCTGCCATTCTAATGGCATGGAGCGCGTCGCCTAGTATTGAGTAACCTCGCTGGTATCATGCAAGACCTTTCAGAACATGTAGATCACGTGCCTTTGTCATGTTTGGTTTTCCCTACTTGTCGTGCTTGTTGTACAGTGTTGCATGTGCGGGAAAGCTGAGTACCCTTGCTCGATATGCGACGTTTCAATCTCGCCATTTATTTTCTGTGAAAACCTGTGACGGCCCGCACGACTAATGGTCCGTTCACACAGTCATTTACTCACCTGTGGCGGACGTGCGGACGTCGCCACAGGCTAAAGATTGCGCATCTGCTTGCGTCACACTGTCGCCGAATGTACCATATGTTTCGACAGCCATTACCGCTACACACAGCATGCGCTTTTCACCCATCTCCCGTCTGGTCACGCAGAATATTTTGAAGACGAGAAGCCCACTGGCCTTTGGTTGCACGTTTGAACGCACCTGGTTTGTATCATCTTCGCAGACAATTAACGGTTGCTTGTTCAATGCAACTTTCTTGTTTCCCTGCATATTGACAGTGATCTAAGCAGATGTTCGTACCGTTAAGTTAATTTCGTAATGTTAAGTGTGACTTACTTTGTAACGAGCGAGCCGTCTTGATCACATGTTAAGCACGATCAGGTATGTATGACATGTCATGATCTTCCTCTGATCCACCTGCTTTGAAGCGCGGCCAACGTGCACACAGGCGTTTCTCAAAAAACGCCTGTGTGCACAGTTCATTGGGCGCTCAGAACACTTACAAAAGGGCGGTGGTCATGGTTGGTGTGTTATAGTTTTGAGTGGGTACGTGTGTATCGCATTTTTTAACGGGCGTCATGCTTAACGTCTCCAGGAGTGTGTCTTCCTCACAAACAAGATGTTTTCGTGCGGGGAATCATTAACAGTCCACCACAGCAGATTTGGGAAACGGCGTATTTCTTGGCCAGAATCGTCGAAGACCACAAGTGTTAAAGGATCACAGCCGCTCTGACGTGCTGTCAACTGGACAAAGCTGTCAGGCTTGGCAGCTTAGAGGGATGTCTTTAAAAACCTGTGGGGCAACTGAGGATGAAGGACGCGCCCAGGGTTGGCAACGCTCCGTCGTCGCTGTTCCTTTAAAGGCTGTCACACTCCGCTCGCTCAACCAAGACTGTTACACCGAAATAGGGGGCGGGCCCACAGCCCCGACAGAGAGACCCCCCATTTCTTGATGTTACGACGTGATGCTGTTTTGCAACTTGTTCCGTTATTGACATGCCACCTGCCATGTCCTCGTTTTCTGCGACGGCATCCGGCCCCGGTCCACCGAACAGCGGGGCACGGGCAGGCCACAACAGCGTCCATCACCACTAGCATGATGCTAAACTGTCGTGTTGTCCGGAGAAGCAAGCTGTCGGCGCCAGTCTAGCCTCAGCAGACTTCCTCAGCCTCCTCCGGCTGCGGTCCGGTCCCGGCCCGCGGGCTGGGAGTCAGCTGGCGGCTTCGCCTGTCCATCTATTGTGACACACCCTCCAGCCACAAAAGCGGTAAAATCGCCACCCATTAGTCTCCGGCCTCCGCCTTTCGCTCAGATTATGGGCTAGGTTTGCCGCCGGCGACCGGGTCACAGTCGAATTGGTGGTAATGTGTGTTTTTGCTAGCAGGTTTGGCAGCACAGAACGGCGGTAGCCCGTCTGCTGCCCGCATACTGGCACCCGATTTGCCTCAGAATCGGAATCGACTCACGATTTTTGCCTCAGAATCAGAATCGACTCACGATTTTTGCCTCAGAATCAGAATCGACTCACGATTTTTGCCTAAGAATCAGAATCGACTCATGATTTTTGCCTCAGAATCAGAACCGACTTATGATCTGCTACATGGGACGTCACAATGGTTCAACTAATGATTCGGTGCACTTAAGTCTCGAACCAGAAGTCCATTCGAATTCCATGAAGGTGAATCAGGCGCGAGCCTGGCTGCCAGCGCTGTTGGTCAAACCCTAATCAGACTACACGCATTCGTGGGCATGCACCCACCCACCCTTCATTCTTAAGAGCAGCCCAGCTTCAGAGGACACCAGAAAGGGCTCCAAACTGTCCCGCTCAAGGGACACAACAATGTTAAGCCTCTCACCCTGACGAAATCCTGGATCGGCAAGAAATGGATCGGTCATGTTAACAACCCCATTTTGATGTTTGACCTCATTGGTACACCAACAGCGTTGTGTACCAATGGCACGTGCCCATGTAGTGTTTGCTTCTTGCGAGATTCAGATAATTGTTTCTCTATGCTTTTTTTCGTTAACGTGTCTTTCTAGATACCTCTCTCCCGTTACTCCCGCAACCACTTTCTTCTTCTTCGACGTGCCCTCAGTTCTCTAAATATGCTGGCATGCAGAAAAGGTCATGCAGGGTCATGTATGGAGATATAAAACCAGGCAGAAATACCCGCCTTTGGAAGTGTTTAGAAATGTGTGGCGAACTTGTGGACATTTGAATGAATGAGAGTCAATAACGGCGCGTTCTTTTTGTCTCGGCGCGTTGGGTCATTTTACACTTCCCATGGTCAGATCTGGCCGCTGGAGCCAGGGACGGACCCAGAGTGGGTGGGAGGGGGGGGGCGGGGTCATGGGCCCATGGCCCCCTTTGACCCCAACAGATTTTGTTTTTTCGAAGGGGAACCACGGTTTCATGGGGAGGGCACCAAAGAGCTCCATCTCAGAACTACATAATTCTTATTTTCAGGAGGCACCAAATTCCAGAGACATCATAAATGGTCCTAAATCTTCACTGTCGACAGGCAACAGTTTCCAGGGCACCACAATGTCCATGCCGTTTTCCTTGACGAAGTCCTGCATTAGTCCGTCCAGACCAGGAAAACTTGCATTTTGAGGCACCAAAACTTGCATTTTGGGGCACCAGCCATAGCCCTCATTCTTAAGAGGAGCCCAATGTCATAGGACAGCACGAAGGGCCCCAGACTGTCACGCTTAAGGGGCATAACAATGCTAAGCCTCTCACTCTTACGAAATCCTGGATCGGCAACAACCGGATCGGCCATGTAAACAACTCAACAGTGATTGACATGGCATGTTTGACCTCATTTGACCCTGACGTTATTTGGTTAGGGCCATGATTTTTCACGCAATGCAGCTCCCTGCAGTACCCACCCACCCTGGGGGATGATTTACTCTAACTCTCTCGGTTCTCGAGGTGGTAGGGACGAGGGATGGTAGGGATAGCGAGGTCTGTCTCCTCCCTCCAACACGTGTAATTTTCTGAGGCCCTCCACTGTACGTGTTAAGCATTTACTGTCAGCATTCACATTCACGGCAGTCATCATTTACCATTCATCATCAGTCACTCATCACCATCATTATGTGAGCAGCGTTCACATTCACTGTCAATGTCACTACCTACAAAATGCAACTTTCTGATAGTTCCGTCCCTGGTACGTCAACGATGACTAGTTTCTCGAATCGTGTTGTGGCATCTGAAAGTGCCTAATTCGATGATAATCAGGAGTCACCTTTAACTCGTTTTGTCATATCTTCCCCGCAATTCTTAGCTCAGGACGATAGCATCTTCCAATCTTTGGAGGAACACCCCCAAGTGCATATGTACCTGTCGTGTCCCTGCTGCGCAGAGGAGATAGTTTTCGATCAAGAAATAAGGATGTGAAAATGAGGTGGCCGAAATCCAGGAGTTTTTTGTGAAGGGTGGGGGCACCAAGTTTCGGGGGGGGCACCATAGCGAGGGGTGGCATCTCCCCTGACGAAATCTAGGATCCATCCCTGGCGGGAGTAGTTGTGTGACGCGTATGCTAACGCACTTTCGATATCTGAAAGTCTGTATCCACAGCTGTGTGAATCCCGCGTAATTAGCTATGTCACAACGCGATTACAAGACGCGCCGGCCATCGTTTCCCCCGCTGACGTCATTCCGTGTGTGTACCGCAGTGCCGACCGGAAACTCCGACTCGGCGTGGTCGCGGCGTGACGCCGAGCTCAAGGTGGAGGACCATTTGCGACAGACCCTGAAGCGACTCAGCACCGACGCCAAGCAGCGGCTGACAGGTGGGGGTTAAAGCCATGCTGGCGCTGTTGCCACCGACTGTTCGCCACCGCCAGGCTCTCCCCTTTCGCCGGCGGACTGGCACGCCGGCGTGGGGCCGCGGTCCGTCCTCGGCTCGAGCCTCCGGCTATGCGGCGACCTGACACACCAGCACTACTCGCAGCGCCGCTGCTGCGGCAGCAAGCTTTCGCACCACTCACGCTGCCGGTGGCGTGACAGTACACTCCTGCGGCGAGCGCACTGCTGCCGCTGCGGGGGTGCGTTCGTCTCCGTGTCACTCACGCTGTCGGTGGCGTGACAGTACACTCCTGCGGCGAGCGCACTGCTGCCGCTGCGGGGGTGCGTTCGTCTCCGTGTCACTCACGCTGCTGCTGCGGCGATGCACACCCCGGCTCCTGGTGGCTCGGGGTCTGTTGCCGATACAGGACCCGCTGTAAGGCACTGTGGGCCCCTGGCAAACATCCTCATTGTTTGAGGGACCAAGAACAGTGCAAATCACGGGCCCGGTCTTGCTCGCGATTGGGAAACGGGTCTGCAGGGTCCAGACCGACGCGGAGCCGACTGTTCGGTGTTGGTGATCTTTGGTCGAAATAGAGGCCCGGTCTGTCCCACGAGTCCCCAATCAATGCAATAGGTCCCCGGACATTGGAAGTCGCAGCCCCACGGGCGGGGACTCCTGACTGTGAGCTACGGCCAACCCTTCGGGCCCTCCGGCTCCTTCAGCTTTCCAAATGGGTCCTTGACCTTCAGTCCCGAGGGGCCTTTCGGCCACTCCTGAGGTGTCCTCATGCAAAGCCCGTGACGGACTCGGGGCCACTTGCCGACACATAACCCCTGACCGATGCCACAGGGGCCCGATCATTGCTTCAGGGACCTAGACCAATGTTAATCGTGGGTCCCAGCCTTGCTCCGGCTTAGGAAATGGGTCCCCAGGGCTCAGACCGATGCAGAACCAGAGACCATCCGGTGTGGATGGTCTCTGGTCGACATAGACGCCCGCATTCCTTCAGGGGTCCTTCGTCGGTGAAAGATGTCTTCTTACTGATATTGCTTGTTACGGTCCTACGGGCCGGGATCCTTGATGTGACCCGCAGCCAGTTCTCAAGCCCCCTATGCCCTCCAATCGTTCGCTTGATCGTCGGTTTCGGTGGGCCTCCGGGGTCCCCTTCGGGCCTCACTAAACAACGCCCTTGGTGGACTCGGGGCCACTTGCCAACTCAGGACCCCCTGGTAGACGCTGAGGCCCCTGATGGATACAGGGCCTCGAGCAGTAGATCGCTGGCTTCGGCTTTGTCACTGCTTGGGAAGTGAACCCTCAGGCCCATGACAACAGGGAGCCGGTGGTGCGGTACTAATGGTGTCTGACCGGCATATAGACCCTTATCGGCTCAGGAGGCCCCTGTTTGGCACAAAGGGCTCTTCAGCTGGCATTGAAGCACCCGGCACTGTGGACTAGGGCCTCTGAACTTAGCCTCCGGCCGGCCTTCCGAGCCCTTTCGGACTTTCACATTGGGCCTTGGCTTGTCGGTCCCAACGGACCCGAATGGCCCCTCAAAACCTAAGTAGGTACGTGCCCACGTATGCTCCCTCCTGCCTGCGGCACTGGCTCCATGCATGTCTTTCAGGGCATAGTTATGACCTTGTCACGACTATCTGCAGACGCAGAGATTTTGTTATCACATTACGGGATCAATCATCTGCAGCAAATCAAGCATATAACCTCAGTGAACTGTCATTGTTGCCGTTCAGAAAATATAGTGCATTTGGATAGTGCACTAAGAGCTTAACAGGCCTGTAAACTAACAAAAACATTGTCTGCGCTGAGAAAAACATGCAGGAAGCACGTACAAGGCTATTGCATGGATGTTTGTCTCAAGTTAATATATGGAGAAAGCTGCGACACACCCTTTGCGAGCTCGTTTGCATGCATAACCCAATGCGTGGTGTGGGGGCACAGATGCTGGGAATTACGCCAGGTATATAGCGGTACCAGGAACGGGTACCAGGGCGCTGTCTGACCCAACTAACAGGAAGTGTCGGCCAGCAGCTAACAGCTCCCGAGCCAAGCTCCGTGTGAGCGTGCCGCGGGAGTCAGCGACTCTGTAGACTCTCTGCGGCCCGTCTGGCAGCATTAGCAAAAACAGACATCGAGCTAGAATTCCATAACCTAGGTGGTGGATTTAGGATTCATGCAACAAGTCTCGCGTGTCCAGAACCCTGTGCCGTCCACGCAAATCGCTCGGAATAATTTCTGGGGGGAACAATATTCTCTCCGTATTTATTAGACACGGGCTCGCCGGCCAAGCGGATTTTCAGGAAAGCATTGTTTCATACGGTTTACTTTCCCCCTGGAAAAGAAAGCAGAACTTTCCAAGACGGCAGAATGCGTTTGGAGTTGCACGCCATCATAGTTTGCATGGTGTTTGCACTCCACTTCTGGTCATATTCGTGACTTCTATTCGGGTTGGAATGATAATGTCTGCACCATCAATACTTTCTGAGGGATTTCGCACGGCGCTGGATTAAGATCAAGCTTTTTTCAGAGGCATGCTTGCATGATAAGAACCTGCCGCATCTAATCAGAAAGAGAAACAGTTCCTCGCTTATCGCATAGCTATTCAAGTCAAATCGCATCCAGCGCCATCTGCACACCAAAGTAGTATTTGTTTTCTCCACCAGGTGGTGTTATGGAGGACCCTCTTCCCATACCGGCCTCGCTGAAGCAGGAGGCTGCAGGCGCCACGTTCAAACTGCACAACATCGTCCTCACTGGCCTCAGAGACTACGACGTGCCGCTGGTCCAAGTTGACCTCAGTACGCATGAGGTCAGTGGCTATGCGGGGATCTGAGTTCGGTAGATACCAGATCCGTTTGCCGAGGCCAGAGTGCGTCCGGCGACAGGGCGAGGGAAGTTTCGTTCCCTGCACTTCAGTGTCGATGACGGCACAACAGACACATCTTATGGTAAAAAGTATGAAAAGCGTTACACTGAAGACTCAGTATTTCTACTCGAGACATTGTTAAATTAGGGATCTGATTAGATATCTTCGATCTATACCTCTTCGGCCAGATCAGGGCTGCTTCGTTAGTCATATCACCAATATGTCACATTATGGCCAGCCACCCACCGCGCGCTATGGTCTGGTGTCGTTCGCCGTCTGTCCCGCTGCGTGACGACCCACGCGTCGTGTCCGCCGGCAGTACACGTACGAGCTGAAATTCCCGACGCTGGCCATGCTCGGCCAGTACGTGCTGGACTACTACTGGACGGCATCCGAGGGCGACTTCACCATCACCATGTCGGACGTCAAGGCACGCGGCCGTGGCTTGCTGGACGTCTGCGGCAACGGCACTGTCAGGGTCAGTCCGGCACAGCAGGCAGCGTCAGGGGCAACCAGTGACGCGCTCAGGGTCAGTCCGGTACAGCAGGCAGCGTCAGGGGCAGCCAGTGATACGCTCAGGGTCAGTCCGGCACAGCAGGCAGCGTCAGGGGCAACCAGTGACGCGCTCAGGGTCAGTCCGGTACAGCAGGCAGCGTCAGGGGCAGCCAGTGATACGTTCAGGGTCAGTCCGGTACAGCAGGCAGCGTCAGGGGCAACCAGTGACACGCTCAGGATCGGCCCGGCACAGCAGGCAACGTCAGGGGCAGCCAGTGTCACGCTCAGGGTCAGTCCGGTACAGCAGGCAGCATCAGGGGCGACCAGTGACACGCTCAGGGTCAGTCCGGTACAGCAGGCAGCATCAGGGGTAGCCAGTGACACGATCAGGGTTAGTTCAGTGGTATCGTCAAGATCAGCCCGTTGGTGACACGGTCAGGGTCAGGCCAGGGCTACCGTCATGTTCAAGTAAGGGTCGGTCCGGCCGGAAAAGCGCGGGCCATTTCATCTTGCTGCACCAGCCAGGAGTCGGTGCTGTTCTGCGGCTCCTCACATTAGTGATTTCCCTGAGCTGCAGCCCGGTGAACCTGGAGCGCTCGTGCTCGACGTCATGCTGAAGGCGTCGATAACGTCCCTCCGTCCCGCCTTGGAGTCACTGGCCCGTGGAACGTGGAAAGTCGGCCCCCGGCCGACAGCGGCCGTTGTACTGTTGTCCACTGCCATGATCTTAACGCTGATCTTCTACCCAGTGCCAGCCACCACTCACCGCCCCAATCTCACGGCTAGCCTCGCCCGCACTGGTTGCACCATCGTCTTGAGGTCAAAGCGAGACGGAGGCCGTGGAAGCCGAGAGCGTGCGCCCGCCCTGACGCGATTCTGACCCGCCGTCGCAGCTGACCGCCGGCCACAGCCACACGGAGGTGACGTTCTCCCGTATCCACGCCGACCTCGGCAACCCCGGCCTGATCGACGGCGTGGTGCAGGCGGCCGCCGGCGCGCTCGGGCCGTATCTGTTCGACGTGCTCAAGCCGAGCTCGCTGCACCGCTTCAGCGACTACTTGGCCGAGCACGGCGCCGTCCAAGTCAGGTGAGTGCCGCCCGTGGGTGGCGCTGTGGGTGGGAGCGGGCCGGGCCCAGGCGGCGGTGGGGAGGAGAGTTGCGGGGGGCCTGTGCTGCGCGGCGCCTTCTCCCGTTCTTATGGGCAGCCGGGGGTAGTCCGCATTTAGAGTCGAAGGGATAATCCAACTGTGAACCCCTCGCCTTGCCGGAGATTTTGCTGGAGTTACCTCGTGGATGGTAGGTGGAGAGCGTCAGCGCTTGCGCAGGGATTGTGGCCAGGGGCATGTGTGGAAAGATGCACCATGCTGGAACAATATTTTGCGCGAGACTTGTAAACTTAATAGCCACAGCCCTCTAACTTGGTGAGCTACAACCCCGCCTCCAGCATGGTGCTTACTTTGCCGACTTCCCAGTTCTTGTTCTTTTTTATCTTCAATCGTCTTGACAACAATGCCGTCAAACTGTGACAAAACTGCATGTGTCACGTGCCAGGCAGCTTCCGGGTATCTGCTCCATGTGCGGTGAGCGTAGTTTTAGCAGCCTTGACTACCACAGATTCGAACAAAATCCCTCCCTGAGCGGATTATCGTTTCCTGGGAAAGGATTCCACCCGGCGGTTGATTCGAATTTGCCGAGCGGCGCGCGGGCCTCTACATGGGCCCGATGGCATGGATTGAGGTGGGGTGTCGGCTTAATTCGAGTTTGCTGAACGGCACGCGGGCGTTTACATGGGAACGACACCAATCTAGGTCAGCTGCCAGCTTAATTCAAATGTCAATGGATATAGTCTATTCAGTTGCACGGGAAGAAACGGCTGCAGCCCCTCCCAAACTTGTAGAAGTAGTCAAATTTTGGAGAAACCTGTTTTTGTGTTTTGGGGTTTCGCCACTTTCCCCTGCTAAGTCCCCTCCCCTTTTTGCGAAATTTTGCGAAAAAAAATCCAACCTTTTTTGCGAAATCACGCCCTCGGCAAAAGCGAACGGTAGTGTAAAGAACGCTAGGCACTTGAGCTGACTACCAGTAAACCGCTTAAGGTCTGCATTCACTCGCTGGACTCGTTTACACAGCACGTTCAATTCCTACCCGAGATGCCAACTTGGCCATTGCCCCAAAAGAAGCGCCGGCCGTTGGCGAGTCACGCGCTCCACCAGTTATTTGGCGGCGGGTTCGGGCATCGGGCGTCGGTCGCGTGACGGCGCTATGTAGGGACCGCATACGTCAGCCGACCGGGAGTCCGCCGCCCGGCTGAGGCGGAGGCCGCCCACCGAACTGATGCGTTGGCTCAGAACCCCCGGCTCAGGAGTCACAATAGAACAGAGAGTCCAGCGCACGGCAGTCCAGAACAGAGAGTCCATCTGGAGTCAGCAAGACTCGTCGTTCGGGAGCGACGGGCGAAACTTTCGGAGAAATCATGTCAACGTTTAACAAGTTGAATGTTGGCGTGACGTTCTGTTCAGGATATCAGTCAACACATCGGGTTGAGTGACGTATGTGACATCTACAAGGTCTGTCAGTGCAAAAATAGATCACACTGAACCGTTTCCAAAATATTTTTTGGGACCTACGATCGTGGAGCATTTGTACCTCAGGCTTGATAAAGCATGTCCGGTGGAATGTATGAAAACAGTAGGTCATCGAAATCCTGAAAATACGCAGTTCATACCAATAACTTAGCTTGTGAGTTATTGGATCGTTGTTTCCCAGTCGGAGAAACACGTGCTACCAGAATTTGATTTGGTAACGTTGTCAACATTTTGCTTTTTTACTTTTCGATTCTCGTTTTTGCATTCCGTTATATTATTTTATATACCGTATCCTTGTGTACACTCATGTCCCGTGGATCAAATACTTGCGTTTCTAACGATTTATCCAAGGAACCCTGCAAAGACGGATTAAGAGAAGCAAATAAGGTTTATGAAACGACAGTAAAACTTGCTCGATGCTGCAATGTTAGTCTTGTTGCGATGCATATTTGTTAAGTGCACCCGTGGCGGCAAATAAGCAATATTTATACAAATGGAGACATTTAGTATGGTCGGTCTGACACTCTCACGTCGCCAGTTCAAAACAACAGTTGCAATTTTGCTAAACGGTCTTGCGGTAAAGACAACATGGAACCCCGTCCAAACAAGCTAGCACGCACGTAACGTATGTCTGATGTTTTCAAACTCCCGTTCGGGGTCAGGCCTTCTCTGAGGTCTGTTTCGTGGTTCGGTGTCGGAGGGAGGGAGGAGGGGGAGGGCATCCCTACAGTCGGGATTGGGCCGAGCCGCTGCCCGAGCCCCTACCCGGACCGCGTGACGCCGCCTTCTCTGTCCGCAGAGAGCTGGACGAGGAACGTATGCTGACCGGCTCGCTGGCGATGGTCGACTCGGCCGTGCTGGAGGCGCGCAAGAAGGTGCGCGAGGCTGGCTACGACCCGCTCGTGCTGCCTGACATCAGTCAGGCCAGCTCCGGCGTCGAGGTTAGTAGGGTCAGCTCCGGCGTCGCGGTCAGTGGAGTTCGCTATGGCGTCGAGGTCAGTGGGGTCAGCTCCGGGGTAGAAGTCAGTGAGGTCAGCTCCGGGGTAGAGGTCAGTGGGTTCAGCTCCGCGGCGAAGGTAAGTGAGGTCAGCTCCGGGACAGAGGTCAGTAGAGTCGGCTTAGGGGTAGAGGCCAGTGGGGTCAGCTCCGGGGTGGAGGTCAATGGAGTCAGTTCCGGGGCCCGAGGTCGCTGGAGTTACCCCCTGGGAAGAGGCGGTTCAGTCCGGCAGTAGGGGTCGGTGTGGTTCGCTCCGGCGACCCGGTCACCGGGGTCAGCTCTCGCATGCAGACCAGTGACACCACCTGGGTGTCGGACGTCCCGCGTCCCTGTTGTGCGCCGCCCCATGGCCGTGCTGTGCTCCACCCCTCGGCCGTGCTGTGCGCCGCCCCTCGGCCGTGCTATGCGCCGCCCCACGGCCGCGTTGTGCGCCGCCCCTCGGCCGTGCTATGCGCCGCCCCATGGCCGTGCTGTGCTCCACCCCTCGGCCGTGCTGCGCGCCACCCCTCGGCCGTGCTGTGCGCCACCCCTCGGCCGTGCTGTGCGCCGCTTCTTGGCGTGACCGCCTCGCCGCCGACCGCAGGTGCTGCTCAGCCACGGCGTGCTGACCGGCCTGAGCAGCCTGCAGCGCTCCGGCGACGTGGCGCTGGGCGTGCTCGACCAGACGGCCAAGGCGACGCTGGCGCTCGGCACTGAGCGCGTCACCGGCAAGTACCGCTGGACCGTCCGCGGCTTCAACGTGCTCGAGCGCAGCGGCTTCGTCAAGTTCAGCGTCGACAGCCTGAAGCTGCGCGCCCGGCTGGCGCAGGCCATCTCGCTGCAGGAGCGGCCCCGCATCGACGACCTGGACGTGGACCTGGGCCGGCTGACCTTCCGCGCCGAGGGGCTCGGCAGCCTCGACTACGCGCTCAACGTCGGCTCGCAGAGCTTCCCCGGCATGATCAAGCGTATCTTGGTGAGCGCCGTCGAGACGCCGCTCATCTGGATCATCGAGAACCAGTTCAGCGAGCTGGGCCTCAGCTAGGGCCGGCACGGGTCGGGCGGGGCCGCATGGTTGCCCCAGAGATCGGCCAATGTGGGCGTGATGAGCTGAGGCAGCCCGGGAAGCAGCAAGGACGCTCGTGCTTATTCGCGATGGCCTGGAAGAGGACTCGCATGCGCTTCGTCGCATGCTCGTGGGGCCCCAGTGGCCGCCAGCGCTTCCGTAGGGCCAGGTGCCCGAGGATGTGACAGTGTATCGACTGGGGCGGTGATGTGACATCGAGGCTGGCCGTCTTTGCGCCTGTGATCAAACTTGCGGAATCTGACTTCAGCCTGCGAGGAAGCTCAGCGCGGTGTGATCGCCGTTCGGGTTGAAGGCATTGCACGGGTTCCTGTGCTCACATGTGATTTCAAACGTACTCACATCCAGTTTTGGATTAATTATCAGGGTATGTTAAGTTGCTTGACAAATGCGCCCCGTGTATCATTTAAAACCCATGTGATCACCGAATCTTCAGAGGAGCTCGTGGCCTCCAGCCAGCAATCCTGTTGAGGCCCGTACTCAGTGTCAACGCCCACCAGGGGCGTAGTGTGAAGCAGCCTATCCACAAAATGTACGAAGGGCTTCTTCACTTCTCAAGTTGGGGTCCAGACTCGAGAGCTAGACCCCCCCCCCCCCCCCCCCACACACACTGCGATGGGGACAACCCCCAATGCCCAAGACGTTTCCTTGTGATTCATGTAACACTCAGCTCGAATGACGTATGACTTCAAAGACATTCCGTATATGTGGTCGTTTCCAATCACCATGCCTCTATCTGCTACACGGGGGTTTACAATTCGTGCCGGTTCTGGCAGAATGTAAGGCAATAATGTGCACACCATCTCGACAAAAAGCGGACGAGGCGGTAGCTACCTGTCGCAGTGGGCGAAACACTGGTCATATTGCTCAGTGCGCCGCTGGGCAACAAACGGCGTGTGCTGCCCAATACGCGTGATTCGAATCGGAAATACATGGTCTCAAATCGCAGCTAGGATACGATCAGCTAAGTGTTGGGCGTTGCCTCCAGCGCGCCACCCCTGCCGCGGTAACCCACGGCCAATGCCGGGCAATCCAAACAAACGCGGTTTCTGACAACAGGCAGCGGACATCAGTGGGCACGAAAGCGTTCGATCCGTTGCTGTTGACGCATTCGCGACCGACAGACTCGCGCCCACTGTTGAGCTCAGGCCCGGAGCACGCCGCACCCGCGTGTAACCTACGATCGTCCCGAACCCGCCTGTATCGACCGCGGCTGCTCGGTGTGACCAATCCATACCGCTATGCGACGTGCCGGGCAGCCCTATTCATAGCTTCTGCCGTGCTGAGCGCAAAAGCTGAAAATATGGCAGCGGTATTGCTGGCGCGGCTGCAGTACCCCCATTTACAACGGAAAGCATGGATGGCGTATAAAAAGCTTCAGAGCACGGGCTTCCGCGGAGCACCAACTCGAGCACACGTTTTCCTTCATGCCGTGTGAGCACTCGCACTACGCCAAAACCTATTAGCGGGGGCTACACAACCAATCGATTGAAATTCTAGTTAGGCACGTTCGTTAGCAGCCAGGCTCTCGACTGATTCGGGTGAGAATGGAAGTCCCGCGCCGGGCACGCGCCTGCGGGAGCACCTAAACACGTACCGAAGACGTAGCAGCCGCAAAGCGAATGACGTTCCCTGCCGATCACCACATGAGCGCACTCCCCGCACACATCGGCCCGCCGGTGCGGAGCCGCGAGCCGACACGTCCCGGCTGTTGTTGCTGTCGGGGTTCGCGGGGCGCGTTGACTGCCGAGGTCAATATGTGCCCTAGATACTGCCCAGTGTACTCAGACCCCTCCGTGGCACGCCTCCGGCGCCGTACTGTGGTGGTGCCTCCAGAAGGAACCAAAATACGGCAATGTGGGGATAACGTCATTCCAATCAATGCAGCATGGCGGGGTCCCATTCGCCACGGAAACCTGGCACGGGAATTGATTTTCTAGCCAGACGCCCCGCGGAGATCCAAAACACTTCAGCTGTGACACTGACGGCTTGCTGCGAAGCGCGACAACCCACGGGGTCCGTTATCGGTCTGCCGTTTCCATCTCACATTACGCAGGACACGTCCACTGTCTTCACACGCACGAAGTTTGGCTAGATCTATCCCAGGTACCTGGCACTCCAATGCAGAACTCGTTCAGTCCCATCCAATCCGACAAACAACATACACATGCCGAATTTTGTGTTTTATATTGTTTACCGGTACGAGGAATAGTGACAAATCGGACAAATTACAGCCAACTAGCGGACGCGCTGAAACAGCAAATTTCGAGCCAAAAATAGTTGACAACTACTCCACATTCAACATAACATATACGGCATCTGATAAAGTCATTCGTTTCGATCAAACAGCAGCACGCGCCGATTTCGCTTTGATCGATTGCAGTGAGACCCGGGCAAAACCCTATTTGCGCAGAACGGGACCAATCCATTCCAATACGCAGGGGAAGTTCGGCGTCGTGATTCTGCACTTGCCCGGGCAAAAGGTAGTCACACTTCCCAATTTAGACACATGCCGTCGGTCAAAACGCTTGCCCAAAAGCAAGATTTCCAAACACATCAGCAACGGCAGGTTACGAACAAAACATGCAAACTTTGGTAAGAAAACAACTATCTACCTCTGCTGGCTTATAAAACTTGTGAGCAAAGTTTGCAGATGTTAGCAACGCAATCACTTACACTGACATAATAGGTGCAAATGGAATGACCTACGAGGCGGCGTCAGGTTCGCCTCCCGCCTCTCCGGGACTTCGCCGCGGTGTTTTTGAATCCCCGTTCTGCTGCATGAACACCACCCAACAGTGTCACATTGCCCATACTGAACCAGCCTTTACAAAAGAAAGCACTCTCGAAGCGGGCATTCCTGATCTGGCCGGACCGAGCACAGCGAGGAGTAGACGTGTAGATCCGAGACCTCCTGCCCAGGCGCGATCCGCACGCTCAATACATAGTTCACACGACAGTTCAATTAAGTTCATCAGTTGTCGCCACCCTCTTGCTGCTCATCTCCCTCGCCCTGTAAACAAAACGGCGGCGTCACAGTGCCATCCCGTGTTGCAGGCAGCTCTGCAGACACGAATATTCGGACGCGGCGTGGCATGTCACAATCGGTCTCGTCGGGCTGAAGATCTGCTACGTTCCCTTACGCTGCGCTGGATGTGAAAACCTGTCTCCACTCAGCGTACCCCTCCCGGTCCTGATACACTCGGAGCGTCAATGGCAAAATCACTCGCAATAACGACGAGATACACTTCAAAAAAGCCCACAGCGCTGCTAGTTACTGACCTGAGCGTCTGACGTCCACAACGTTAGGTTATCCCTCAACAACTGCATGATGAGGGTTGAATCTTTGTAGCTGTCTTCACTTAACGTGTCGAGCTCTGCGATTGCGTCATCGAACGCCTGGAACGCGGCGATCGGTTACCTGTTGCCTGTCATGCACACACTGCCAATTCTGCCAAAGGCAAACAGAATTTTCGTCCCCTAAGTGGAAGAGCTGGTGGTTTCCACAAACCAGCACCGGCCAAGCATGTGGATCAAGACATCACATATCACCCATAAGCTAATCGATCAATATCATACACGCATGTCGCCGTAACATCAGTTCTCTCACAATGGGCCGGCATAAATACATATCCTGGGCGTAAACTGCGCTCAGTTGGTGAGTCTAACACACAAAGCTGCTTAAATGCTATACAAGTACACGAACGCACACCACATTTAACGGACGAACGTTAGTCAAATCGACCTCCACACAGTGCAAAATACGCCGAACCTCTGGGGTCCACACCCGGTCAAAAACGCGACACAAGTTCTAAGTCCACCCGGCGAGGCTGTGACGCGCGGTGATGATTGTCAGTTTTAGGGCGCGTGGACATCCAAGGCAAAGTTCGATCAGTGAGCGAGCGCACCACACATCCAGCGGGCGGGAGCTGCGCCGGAGCCACCAGGCACCGCCGCACCGCGCTACGCTACGCTACGCGGCGGGATCGATCCGGGGGCGGTTAGTCCACACCGACGCCACGAGCAGCCAAACGACTACCGGAGGACCGTTACCAGCGACGCAGGCACGCAAACGCCGCCCCACCAGCGGCCCATACCTGCTTTGCCAAGTGGCAAGCCCTATCGGGTGAGTTAATGATTTCGTAGTAGAAAACTGAAAAGTTGAGGGCCAGACCGAGCCTGATAGGATGCGTCGAGGGCATCTTGGACTTGGCAATATCAAAAGCGTCCTGATATGCCTTCTGGCTGTCGGAGACAACAGCTGAGAGGAGAGAAAACACGATTACACGACATATCACCGGCCACGTCCGTATACCTGTTTCGCCAACTGGCACGCCTTTTCTGGCGAGTTGAGGATCTCATAGTAGAACACTGAGAAGTTCAGGGCCAGCCCCAGCCTGATAGGATGTGTGGGCTGCATTTTGGTCTTGCTGATCTCAAAGGCATCTTGATAGGCTTTCTGCGAGTCCTCAACAATCGCTGCAAACAGGTTGCCCGTTACATTAATTTGCCCGTTTCAAAATCTGTCTCAAAGTATCGTCAACTAAGTAAATGGCAAATATCTTTGGCTTACCCATTCAAAAGCATTCATCCAAGCCCTTTTCAAAAGGTGAAATAGATTACATGACACGTCTCGTCTCGGCAGGCTGTTTCCGTGACACGGATTGGCACAATCGCCCAGTCGGCACGTACCGGTCCGGGCGTCGCCGGTGGCCACCTCGGCCAGGTACCGGTAGTAGTCGCCCTTCATCTTCAGGTAGAACACCTGTGACTCGGCCGTTGACGCCTTGGGGATGAGGAACTTGTCCAGCAGGGCCTGAAGCACACCACCACCAGATGCCGTCAGCCGTCAGCCGTCAATATCCACGGAGGCAAAACGAGCCGTCGAAACCGTTAGCGCGTCCCAGCTCACGCAGGGCTTTTCCAAATAAAAACAACCTTCCACTTGCAACCTAAAAAAAATTTAATTCTCCGAGCTGTGAGTTATCTCCTGTGATCTCCACAAATGATGACGAAGTATTGTACTCGCGAAATGCATGAATCACCAACTGAATTATCACCAACAGACTCACTACTTGTGTAAGCTTGGGCAGTGTCACCAAGCCGTTCAAAACGCAGCCCCGCTATCCCGTGCCACTCACTCCAAAAATAACCCATGAAAAGTTCACCGCTGGGAGAGAATGTGCAGACAACATGCAGATCCCACACTGACCAGGACGTCATTGCAGATTTCCCGGAGCTCCTTCTCCACCTTCTCTCTGTACTCCTTCGCCATCTGTTGCTTCTTCTCGCTGCCTTCAGTCTTCTGTTCTATGCTTGAGATGACCCTCCACGAACTCCGCCGGGCGCCAACGACGTTCTTGTAGGCCACAGACAACAGGTTCCGCTCCTCATTGCTGAGTTCATTGCCTGCAACAATGTAAAACGATGTGTCAACTGGGGGCACCCATTCACACTTCACATAAAGCCCTGGTAAAGCCACCCAGTTATCAATTGAACCTGCGTATGTGCGAGGACGATCATCTAACCTTATTGTGCAACTTTCCTACTACATCTGACAGATCAATAATGCCATTTCCTGGCATGTACAGTGCCGTTTTTCAGCTTTCGCCTATCAACCATTTCCAGCGATCGCACAATGAGATCGCGTTAAACCATCAGATCCGAGCAATTTTTGCTGGGATCATTCTGATGAATTCATATGACTCACTGCTTATAATCTTCCTGAAGCACTAATTCCAGTATTTGTTACCCCAAGCCAATGTCATCCTGACCAGTGAGCAATGCAAACTTCAAAGACAGAATAACTTGATAGCCTTCATCGTGTTAGTTATTTATAGCATTAAACCTGTTGTAATCTTTGTCATTAACTATGCATGCATGCATTTCCCAGTCACAGTAATACTTGCCTTAGTACCTAAAACCTAGCATAAACAAGGCAACCTGATATCAATTTCAGGACAATTGCAGCTGGTTATATAACTTGTATCCACATACATAATTTGACACTTCCCTGCACACATGTTGCATTACCATCTTTCCTGATTTTGAATTATGATCAAACAAACTTGGATCCTTGCCAGCAAATATGCAACTGGCAGTGTATGTCACCCAAAATGTCTGAATGACTACTCAAACACAAGATACATTTTCATCCCACTTACAGGCTTTAGAACGCGTTGTGTCCCTACAGATTTTGGTCTGTATCTGCAGTACTGCATCTTATGAATTTAGTGGCACATTACCTTTCAGCTTCCCAGTGTTTTCCTCTCTACCCAGTAACACTTAATATCAGCTTTAGCCTGACAACACTGCAGGTGTGTACTATATGGTGACCATTCACTATGGGTACATTTTGATCCATAGCATATAGACCCAGCTTAAGTGCCAGAAAAGCATTACTTCAGCTGTCAGAGGCATTTTGAGGTTGAGCAGCTAATTGGAGGGACACCTCTGTGCTCACTTTGGTGCAAAAAAAAACAACCTCTTGGTGGGTGCAAACCCTACAGTGCATTTCAAGCAATTAGTGATTTGATGGCCACACAAACTGTCACAGAATAACCCCAAGTATTATAACACATATCAGTCAGCACATATACTTTTAGGGATTACCCACCCCATTCTCACAACCTGTCCCTCATCCCTTGCAGCATCTGTCAAATAATGTGCTGCCAGTTTGACCTATGTCAATATCCATTACCAAAATGATTGAACAAGCTGGGCCATCACCATTCAGTTTATTTGGCTGAATGCCTACATACAACATCCTGAGCCAAACAGATTGTGAGATGGCCTAATATAGAACCCATGCCAGGGTCTGTAGATAAGCTGGGCGACAACCTCAGATTATGGCACTTCCTCTCCTCTATATTCACATATTTATCAGTCATACTGAAACAAATGGCAAAGTCCACACTTTAGGTAATGTTGTGGAATGTCTGCCCAGATTGCTTGACACCATTCCTGTTGTCAGCTGGCTGCCCACAACACAAATGGGCCCAAAAATATGTTGTCTCCACATGGGCAGTATGCAATTTGAGCACCACATGTGATGTGAGCAGTGTGAGTAGTCTTGGCCAAGGTAACGTGGCACTGCCTGCTTAACAAAATGATGCACAGCTAATATTTCAATTCAATGCCGACATGACCAAAACTCAGTTCTAAAACATAACAAAAATGTTATGTTATGATAGTCGAGAGCTTCTACAGCTCTCTGGGATTAAAGGTCCTCACAACTTCTCACCCACACACCCTTTGACAAGATAGGCCAAGACAAGCCTTCACTGTCTTATCAGCAGCATGCCTGGGGTGCATCTAGAAAGCACTGCTGGCACATCCAGTAATGACTACAATATTTGAAAAATGAAGTGACAGGCGCTTTGGCTGTGTGTCATACCAATTGCATGGCATATTGGGCATAGTGCAGCAGCAGACATGTGGATCAGTACATTATGACTAAATGCAGCTCATGACAGGGAAGGAAATGGCAACCCTTCAATAGGTGGTCTTTATTGGAATGCCAGTTGGGATGGTAGCACCACTGCACCCCATTCCACCAGACCACCCCTCTCACCCAGCATTGCTCCTCACCTGTTTCTGTGACATTTTTCATGGCGGCGGCCATGTCATCATACCGCTCAGCCTGTTCGGCCAGCTTGGCCCGCTGCACCAGCTCATCCTTGTCGGTGGCCATCTCTGCAACAGAACTCTGGTTAGACATGAGAATGCTGAAGTTCCATACCAAACTGTGAACAGTGCAGTGATATCAGCATGCCACATTTAAGTGTGCATGTACCATGTCATCCTGCAGTGCAAAGATCAATGCCTGCAATGAATCACAATGCCAACAGTGAATGTTGATGCAAGGTAACTGAAATGATCTATTTGATGAAGAAAACTCAGCCATCTAACCAAGACAAGCAGCTATTGTCCATAAAAGAGCACATCTGCAACATTGTTTCCAAGCAAGACAAGCCAGCAGTCACTCAGCCAGTCAAACTGGTCCTAGCATCATACACCAACTATTTCTGAGTTAAGTGCTTGCATCTACGCAATCTCCTATTTTCCTCCCTCCCCCCTCCATTCCTTTCATATTAGCATCCTTTCAGCTGGGAGATTGCTCCTCCCACAAAACTTAAGGGAATCTCTGGCCAGAGCACCTGGCATTAACAGAAATAGGTACACTTGTGAAGCATTTTGGTGCCAAGAAAATGTATGTGATTAGGCTACATTTTCAGGGTTCACATTTGTTTGGCATTTTGGAGTTGAGGAAATACAGCTGATATGGCTATTTTGGGGATAAACAGACTATTTGCACACATATCATACCTGACATTATCTGCAACCACTACCAAGCTGAAACAGCACAGTGGAGTAAAACTGCCCACATATACATATCTTTCCAAGTTCTTTAATAAATGCATATACCCAAAACATGTACAAAAATGCAGAGCAGCCAGGACTGTTACAATTGGCTGGTTTTGATACACAACCAACTGCCTGGTTTGGGTTTTGATGCACACACAGCTACCATCTCCTAATGTCTGGCACATCACATTTATGGAATGGTTTGACAACACTGGCTACTTGGTGATACTGCTTGGCTTGCCAGAAAGATCACATTATATATGGTATGGCTCTGACTATAATGACCCAGGTAAGATGACCAGTTTCCTTTCAGCTGCTTAATCACATCATCATACATAACTGACCCATGCATGGGTGACTCATAGCTAATGTGAAGTATATTTCAGAGCCAGACTGCAAAACATACATGTTGCACTGATGATGATGTCTGACATGGCAAAGACATGCAAGCAATCACAGCACCTAAAGGCAATGTTTAAAGGCAAGCAATGCAGCCAAAAGAAATAATGACCAAAAAATGATCAAAACATTTCTTACAAGAAACAATCTCAACCTCCCTATAATGTGACCTGCCTAGTTTCATGCACATGTGTTCCAAGTTCAGCAGATGTTGTGCAAGTATCTGATGCAGTGGATGGATATTTGCAGCCTGGTGTCAGCATATTTCACTCATGACCTCAGACTTCACTTCCCATTTCTAAAGCAACAAAATAAAAACTAGCTCTTTGATTATGATGATGTGAGACACAATCTGCATAATTTGCAGTCGCTAATTACTGCCCAAATAGAAGGTAGCTATTGATCGGACTCAGGAAACTTCTCACCATACTTCAACGGGTTACACCGATGCCCCAGTAGTGCGGCATGGCACCATCGCAATCAGACCTTCTACAGATACTGAGCGCCCCATGAAAGCCCTCAAGTCCCCACTATACCATAGCAAGCACCACTATCGAGCCCAATCCAGATCGAACTACGTAGCAGGCCAACACCATGCCGCATACCGACCACGCCTCTTCCGGCGAAGACCGTCCCACGGCATAAATTTCAATAACGGACGTAATGCACATGTGAAAGAACGATTTCTGACATAGGATCGCAGTAATATTAACAAATAAGCCCAAATACCAACCTGTTCACGTCGTCCGAAGAATCACAGGGAACACCCTTTGCCGCCGGAGACGGTATGAAGCGCCTGCAGCAACCGCGCACACCTTGGACGAGACTGCCGGGCAACCAGAGTTGGTGAAGGATCTGGAACGGAAGACGGGTAACCAGCCAAACAACTTTCTTGTGGGTAAAGTCATTTTGCCTTGTTTTTAAGAATAGGTAAGTTCTTAGATACTGTGTAATATATTGAAGTAATAAATTGCAAAAAAATCGCAATTTAATCAACATTTTTGGCAATACACTTTCATCAAATTTGATCATTAAGTTTTGACCAAGAACAATTTTATTTTGGATAGCTTACCATGAAAATATGCATTTTCAACTCTAAATCATACTTTGCTGTGAATATATGCAAGAGATATATTAAAAACAGCTATTTGATAGACACACTGTAATGTTCATCTATTTTTGTCTTTCTTTAAGGGCCCTCGTGCTGTGAGTTTTCTGTAATAGCTTAGGCGTAAATATGTATTTTTCTGCCTGTGTTAACTTGATTAAGAAACGATGACAGTTTTGTCCTTTTTGATGATCTACATAGCCATAATCGCTTTTGAGTGGTTACAAAATGCATTTTGTTTTTTGACATTCGCCCTTAGATAATGTCTACGCATATGGCGCACGTGCTACGAAACAATGTCGTCTGCTAGAGTTCACGAATGCATGATTGAGAATGATATGCAGCGACGTTACGAAGGATTTATCGTAGCGGCGTGTGTGCTTTTTACGGAAGATAGGATTTTTGGATTCCAGGATTTGTCTTCAGTGGAGTCTTGCTTATGACCAAGGCTCGCACAGGTTAGTATCTGCTCGTTTATTTTCTGCGTGTTCTGTTCAAGAAGGTAGATACGTGGACGCTTGAGTAACATTCTGCGCCAATTGTTCGATGTTTTTGCCGTAAGAATGATGAGCTTTGTAGGGGTGTGAGTGGTGTTTGTTTGGAGTGTTTTGGTGTATGCCTAGTTTTACTAAATATGCACTTTGAACAAGAGCAATTATAATTAGCATTCTAAACTATGCTCTGGCACTAACCATGCCCTATCACGATCCGTGGGAGAGGGGAACCTGTGTCCACAATTCCCTAACACGCATAAAAGAAGCCTATAATTCGGCCCAAATATGCTCATGGTTACATTGTGATTATGCAGGAGCTGGCTCAATTGATAATATGTTTTTGTTGGAATTATTGTACAAACTGGCATTTTAATATGGCCAAAACCTTGTTACCAAAATGGACAAATGCCCTGCAAATGACCATGTAGCAAAGATATTGTCTGAGAAATCTACAATATCTTGGTGATGTGTAGTCAGTTAGTTGTAAAACATGTGAGATAGTTAAAAATCAGCAGTGTGCCCACGCCAACAACTTTTGGGAAGGGTAAGCAGGAGGCATTCTTCTGCCTCAGCGAGGCAAAGTCACCTATGTGTCATTGCAAAACGAAATCATAGACGCCTGTTGCCTGTTAGGATTTTTAAGATAAAGTGCTCATGTCTCGAAGTTTCGTTTGTTTTCGCTAGTGTGGATGTGTTTCACTAGGCACCCTGAGATAATCCAAAATTGTAGAGTGTAATGTACACCAGCCGTCCAGGGGCGTACCCAGCGCTTGTGTTTGGGTTGCGGTGGACAAGCCTACTTTTTTGTAGGAAAAACGGTGCACGTTCAATATGCGTAATTGTACTGTTGCCCTTGGTGGTATGTACGTCACGGTTGTAACGTATTTTTACCACCCATGCATACTACCCATTCATTTTCAGTTAAGTCCAAGTCAAATTCTATTTGAAGTTAAACCCGCCCCCCCCCCTCCCCCACCCCCACCCCCCGTGAAAGAGTGCGGTGCGGTAACCGTCGGCCGTTACGATGCATGCGACAAATAGTTTGCGGAGATAATTTGCGAATGTGCAAATGTGTGCGAATGCGCACATGTATGATGCTGCTTTGATCTATAACATACTCTGCAAGGGCGGATCCAGAACAACATTTTGGAGGTTTTGATTATTTGGTTGTGTGAATTAGAGTTCTTCCGACCAGTAACTATTATTTCAGGGTTACGGTATGAAGGAGATTGGACGACGGTGGGGCGGGACTACATGCGTCTGTGGAGCCAACTGCCGAGCCTTAGCCCGCGCAGGCACCCCTTCGCGAAGTGCGCGCTGGGCGTCCGGACGGGGCCCTCACCAGGGAGCCTCTTGGCCCACTTGTGGCTGATGCATGCAGCCCGTCCCGGGCAAGTGGGGCGTCGCGAGGATGCAGGATAAAGCAAGACAGATGACGAAGGGGCGAACCAAACTTACGTCATAATACTTTGCAAAGGAAAGGTTTTGAGGGAACGTATAGATAAATACTTAACGACAAAATACATCTGGCCAGCAAAGAGCCACAAGAGCCCATTGAGGTTAGCGTACCTCAAGTTCCGCACACATCCTCTAGACTAATCTAACCACCTGTCCTGCCTGAATCTTGCCACAGGTGACATCTTTTGACCGAGATAACTTGTCCAAACGATGGTTAGATGTTCCCAGAGAGAAACTTCCTTTAACTTCGTTTGACACTATTCCAGTGATTCACTTCTCTTTGACCAAATAAAAAAAAAATGGACTAAATAACACCTGCCTCTTCATAGTTAATCGCCTACCTATTGCTAAACAAATCTGATTTCCTCTTAATCTCCACGTAATTTCCAGTGCTCCATGTATATCTACCTTGTATATCCCTTTCATAATCGTGAATACCTCTATCAGATGATATCTAATTATGCGATGTTTCAGTGAATGCAACGCTGAATACAAATTAAGACGAATAGTTATATCCCTCCATGGTCTTAGGCATGATTCGCCTGTTTGGGATGCCACATTTTTATTTGTCCCTTGTTGGCAACACAAAATTTCGATGATCTGCTCGTTCTTTTTCCGGGATGAACGGTGCTTCTGTGAGTGACTGCCCCTGTGAACATGTCATTGCGTGACCGAATGAAGGTATGTGTGGCTATGTACTCGCAAATGCAGCTTTGTCTCTGACTGGGTGACATAATGTCGAAAGGGGTGCCAGGCCGACTCATTCTTAGTTAAGCCGGGTTCTTCTTCATCAAATGAGAAATATTGTGTAGCAACGTTCAGTTTGCCGATGGTGGACTGTTCGTTGCATTGCTGGACCGCATGGTTGGGCATGAACTGTACGTTGCAAACAAGGTACAGAGCTGAGCTCGGACGGCCAGTGATGGAAATCACCCAGACGAGTGCTGTCTGGTTGCTGCCTTGGAAGCTGGCTGAATGGCGCTGATGACACACGATCACAGCATACACCACAGTGCCGGTGACCTGACCGCAAAGGGGCGGGCATTCACCGTGCTGTTGGAGATGCGAAGCTTCCAGGCGGCCGACGAGGCAAGCGTAGAGCGGGTCAAATAAGGCGTGATGTCGGAAAAGTCCATGCTCGGGTTACAGACTGAGGGTTTCCGCCAGCCTGGGACTGTATCCCCGCCGGGCGAGAGTTGTCTATACTCGCGCGCTGGACAGTGAGGGGACAGAGCGATGATCACCTCCTCATTCACTCCGAATGTACGCCAGAGCCACAGATCGGAAGTCAATGGGTATATTGATGCCTGAGGAATTTAAGCGATGCTGTGTTTGACCCCCTCAGCTGAAACAGTGACCTGTCAGGCTAGGTCATTGCCAGTGTTCTGCAGCAGTAAGGAGGTGAATGCGTTTTCTACGGGAGCAGAGAAGGCTACTTTTCCAACAAAATAGCACTGTAATCGTCTTCTAGATCTCATATTTTGTTTAAAAAAGTGGTTAAAAAAGGTAATCTAAGTTCAGACAAGCTCACCATAAGATATTGACTTTTTGACGTGGAAAATGTCATAAGTGTATTCCAAATGACCCGTGTGCGTAAGGAAAGTGATTTTTACCGATAGGATGTCCAACTTTGTACTGTTCAAAGAAGGTATTGCTCGGGAAATCGCTTGACTAACAACTCCTCCTTGCTCCTTGGTATTATAAGCATGCATCGTTCAGTCACGTACGCGCTGGTATTAATTACGCATTACGCTGGTACGCTGGTACGCATTAACTTACCATGGCGGCATTTTTTAATTGTCAGCTTGTGTTTGTTTTATCAGTTTGCGGTCCACTTTTCGGGAAATGAAGTCAGATTCGTTCATGTATTGCCAGCCGTCTGTCAGAGACGTCCAGTTAACAAAAGGTTTGCATGAAATTTAACCTCGTCGTTGTCCATCGGAAGAAATTTAGCGATTGCGCTGTTGGTTCGTATGTAAGACACGCAGGTAGGGCAGCTTGACTTGGAACAACACCGGGAGATGAAATGCGTGTCACGCACCGTATATATACACGAAGTGAGGCGTTAGAATCCAAGTCAGTTGGCAACTGTTGTCTCTTGTGTGGATCTGTGTCATGGTGTCGCCTGTAGTCACCATATGCTAATCGTTTCTGGTGAAGGCAATGGTGAATATGTCCCAATTTTGTGACAGAAACAACTCGGGTCATGACAACGATACCAAAGTTTGTCGTGTTGTAGCGGGGTCATTTCACTCCACGGCGAAATTGTGCATTTCATGGAATATTTATGACACACAATTTTCTACCGAGATTAGCAGTTGAAGCACAGATGTCAGAAGTTGTCAAACGATACTGTTTAAGTTCGCGCATCGCTGACGAGACCGGGGCAGACTTCAGCAAGAGCTCCCATCCCCCCCCCCCCCGCATCAAGCTGACTATTGCCATTTGGGTCAACTCTGCATCAACTCTTCTTCAACTTGATTTTTGGCGGCTGGCTGGGGTGTGAACGGAATTTGATTCAGTTACATGACGTACGATGCGATGGCAAAACTTTGTGTGGACTGCGTGGCGGTCAGTGCTTCGCGCTATGCTCATGAGGGTAAATCAGTCGGGGCGCCGTTCGCCCTGCGCGCCTTCTCATTTGGCATGCGCCACTTCTATGGTGAGGACCATGCCTTCGTATGCGGTACAGCATGGTCGGAAGCCTTGCCAAGCCGACACGCATGCAGTGGCAGGTGTGGAGCTGGTGCCAGCGGTCGGTGTCAG